ATGAACACAGAGTTCTGATAAACAGCATCATAGCAAGCCACAGCATTTCCGGGTACAGACAGAGTAATTCCCCCCTGAAACATTTCCCAGCAACTCATATCATACCTAATGTGACACCATTCTGACAGATGGGTTTGGACCCCAAAATTAAAGCTTCGTTCCACAGAAACCTGGGGCGGGAGGAAGTGGCTAGTGAGGGTCTGGCCTCTGGTGAGGCTATGCCTTGCCCTGGTAATTATATGGGGTGGAGTGTGCCTTCATCTCAGAAGACCTCACAAGTCTACTGATGTGAAGTGAGCCAAATCGATAACAAATCTGTGTGCTGAGGAGCCTAAAGCACCCTAATCTCCAATATGTTTCCCTATTTCCTCCATGAATGTACCCACTAGAAAAATTCTACTTTGAAATGCTCTGCAGAGCACAAACTTCTGTGTACACTTTCAAATCACACTTCATCAACAGGGCTGCCTTTATAGGGAAAGATTTCAAAACACATTGCATAGGAATTTTCAAACATCACTCAGAACTTCACCAGAACAAAGATGAGTATTCTTTTATTTTAATATCTCTAAGTGTTGCCACACAGCATAATCAGGCATTTAATTTTCCTGTCTCATTGCAAAGAAAGCAGCCCTTTCCAGGATGCTTAAAGAGGAAAATGCCATTGCCTGGATATGAGCTATTTGCTGTTGAAATCCACTATCCAGGCACTGACAGAGCCACAGCTCCTTCTCTAAGGAATATGATATGCAGATCAGCTCTTACACTGGTCTGGGGGCTCTCACATTATTTCACTGCCAGTGTGGATCTTTTGTAAAAAGAAAAATCCTTCCAGGGTGTCTGTGAGGTGGAGACCAAAGGAGCGAAAGAAGCGGCTGTAGCTTAACATATTAAGTAGAAAGGAAGTGTTGGTAAATAATCACAGCTTCTCTGGGCAACCTGTGCCAGAGCTTCACCACTGTCACAGCAAAGTTTCTTCCCAATATCTAATCTAAACCTACTCTCTTTCACTTTGAAGCCCTGTCACTCTTTGCCCTGTCACTACCTGCTCTTGTAAATACAAACTCTCACTGGAACAAGTAAATTCTGAATTTTTAAAATAATTCACTGCTGAAAACTCACAGACTGGATGTCCAATACTGTTCTTAACATTGGAGTTGACAAAAGAGCAAGTAGGTGATGAGAAGGGAAGGGTGCCAGCTGGATTTGTAGTCATGGTACTCTGGGAAGTGCCCGGAAATGCAGTAGAGCCAGGCGGTGGAGAACATTTCTTTTTGTTCGGCTGATAAACCCAACCTGTCAGAGATGAAAAAAAGATGCAGACATCCAATGTTCTGGATGGTTTCATTATTTACCTAAACCTATGTTATTTGTAATTCTGAAGGATCTGGTAAGACAAATCCAATACCTGCTTCTCTAGGCAATGGTAATGCTCCACTTGTTTTGGTGAGCTGGAAATGGGGAATTTTACTGGAAATGGAAATGAAATAGAAATATTTGGGTATTGTTTAGAAGTTACCAAGTAGTAGCTGCTTGTGAGACAAAGAAATACTGAACATTGAGGAGTGATGTGGCCCTAAGGAAACCACATTGAGGAGAACATGACGCTCACTGTACCATGGGCTTTCAGTGTGGAGGAAAATCATAACTATTCAAAATGTGGTCTTTCCTCATTGTTTCCTTAACCCCTTAAGTCTCACACATATCTGCAGGTTACAAGACATAACAGAAAATATGACCTACTGGGAACCCTGGATAGATTTTGGAAGAGCACATTTGCCTTTGCCTAACAACATTAACCAAACACTAACAGACATAAGAATATATTATGAATTTACACTGAGCTGCTTGGTTTCTTACACAGGTTAACTCCTAAAGCAACTTTAAAGAAATGCCTTTTTTTTTTTTTTTTTTTTTTGAAAGATGCAAGGAGAGAGGGAGAGTGATGCTCCTCTCCTTGTTTATGACACCTTAGGCAGGATCATGAACGAGTAGCATACATAGAAAGAAAGGATCACAACACCTGGTATCTCAACAGCTTTTTAAAAGTGTTCAAAGTACTTATGCTCCATTATCTTCTGGATAAATGAATTTGTGAAGGATACAAATTTTAACACTTGACAAAGGGCTGAGAAACGTGTTCCACACCATTATGTGGGAACCTCAAGTCTACATGCTGAAGAATCCCACAGAACACAACGCTGTTTGTGCTTCCTGTAACATTTCCCTTTCCTGCTTTTAAGGAATGGATGCATGTGTCATCACAGGCCACCTGGGCAGCTGTTCCTGGAGCAAGGAAACTGATGCAGCAGGCCACATTCACAACAAAATCACTCTCTGGCCATTAGACTACTAAAGCATTCAGAAGAGCTGCCGTAGCTGCAGTGTTCTAAGCAGCAGCATTTTGGATGCTTTAACAAATTCATTGTTTCAAGCACACAGAAGGATTCTGTTCTTGAAGTATCTTTCATTTTTTTTCTATCTCTATTAATTGCTATAATGCAAGAGATCAATTTTCCAAAAATCCCTGCACTTCTAAAGCATTGAGGTAAAAGCTAAGATGTTTACCAGGAAATTCCTCCCTGTGCCTCATTTTTATTTTGTTAGCTTCCTCATAGTATGGCTGCTTCTGCTCTTCAGTGAGTCTGCTCCACTCCAGGCCGAGCTGAATACTGATTTCTGCATTGTTGGCACCTGGGTTGGCTTTGGCCACAGGACCCCTGTGGATCCGGGCCCACACCATGAATGCATTCATGGGACGCTTCACACGGCCACTTTTGGTCTTGCTGAATGGAGTGTCTGGCATCCCTGTGCAACAAGGCAAGGAAAGATATCACCTTCCAGGGAATACAGCAGGTCACACTCACTATTACACCCAGAGGATATTTGGCAACAGCATCAGCGGAGCTTTGGAACAGATGAAACTCAGTGCACATTTGGAGAGCAGTTCCTACAAAATCCTCCAGTGCCCTTCACTGAGTCACTGCACAAGGAGCAGTTACCTGGCTTTCGTTAGGTATAATTAAAAAAAAAAAAAAAAAAAAAAAGAAAGAGGGACTGCTAACACACTAGTTTGGATTTCAGTTGGCTTGTTTTCTTATGAATTTATAAACTAATCAGTATATAGCACACACCACACTACTGCAAATTGATTAGCACCACCAGAACTATGTAACCAAAGCCCTAAGGATGCAGGGACTAGGACTAAGGATGTGAGTCCCACACCTATGCAGTCCCTGCCTTCTCAACCACGGTTGTTGCTGCTTTAGGCTTCTGCTTGGGTTCTGTTGAGTGGTTTTTGAGATATATATTTCTATATATGATTATTTTTTTTTCTTTTTTTTTGGATTTAGACACTTGTTTGGTTGGAAGATCCTGCGTTCCCAAACGTTTGTTACATGATACCTGGCTTTGGCTCTTTGTAAACACAGGCTGCATTTAAACTGAGCTGGCCCCTTAAAACCAATCCCTGAGCAAGCAATTTCCTCCTGGAAAATGTTTAGAAATTAACTCTTTTCACATGACTGATAAAGGGAAGAAGTCTTTAAGACCTTACTTAAGTAATTAATTTTGAAAGTCTAAATATTAAAAAAAAATAGCTTCAAATAGAGATGTTTCAAAATGCTCAACATTTAACATGTCCAGGTTTTTTCAGAGAGGTATACGAGTACTTTATAGTTTTAAAAATCAAGCAGATTCCTGACCTTAAAACTGCAATCACAACTCAGTGTAATTCTAAACACTGTCCTAAGGGTTTCAATGCAGATAGAGAACAATGTTACAAAACTGCCTTGATTGTAACAAGCCACTACAGAACTCTGTGCTCCCGTCAAGTTTTTGAGTCTTACGCTGTGCAAGAGCTGTGCTAAACCCAGCCTGTACAAAGGGATGGTTTTCTAACATGTCCTTTCCACTTGTGCTCTCCTGCCTGGTGACCGGTCACCTGCGTGCCACTGAGTGTCACCGGCGTGCCACCCTGCAAGCTCTCTGACCAGAATACCTGAATCCGAGGGCAGAACTGTGAGGGGAACGTTTCTTGTGTCAATCTTTGGCCGCTGCAGTAGAGGCTGCAATTGAACTGGCACTTGGTTTACCGGCACTGGAGTCACATGCATCAGCTGCGAGGGCAGAGGGCCTTGGAGCTGTACTTGGGACCTGGGAGGTAAGGGCTGAAACAAGACCGGAATATTCTGATCTTGAGGAGGGTTCCCAAGCTCGCACAAGGATGCAGCCGGGGCATCGCTCTTGTCCATCTTCAGTGGGCGGGCCTCATAGGTTACATTGGGTCGCTCTGTTTGGACTGTAGCTCTTCTCCAGGTCTTATTCCCAGTTTGTTCCAGGACCTTCTCCTCGTTCTGGCGGTCACCGCTGCCCCTTTCATGGTCCCTTTCTCTCCTGCTAGCACTCTGGGCCTCCTTCTCAACCGCCGCCTGAGCCGAGATGCACCTGCTCTTTTTCGCTGCTCCTTCGCTGGGCCCGGGCCGGTTCGGATGCTCCTCAACTTGGACGCGCAGCCCTCCGAGGTGGTCCACGACCTCTCTGTGCCTGGGGGGCGAGGCGGGGCTCCCTCGGGCGCGGAAGCGGCAGTGCCTGACCCTGCGCTCCATCGCTCCGCTGCCGCTCCTCGGCCGCCGCCACCGTTGTGCCAACGCTCCCCGCGGCCCCGCGGCCCCGGCGCGCACCGACCCCGCATCCCGCACCAACCGCGGGGCGCGCACCGAGCCCCAGCCCCGCCAGCTCGGGCGCGCTGTCCCCCGGTCCCGCGCCCACAGCTGGGCCCGCCCCGACCGCCCATCCCGTGCTCGTTGCTCGGGGCGCTCGGACCGGGGCGCACGGCACCCCGGCTCCGCGCCCCGCAGCCGCCACGGACGCCGTTGCCGGAGCCGCCCCGCGCTCCGCCCGCCGGCTCCGCCCGCCCTCCCCCGGCACCACCGAGCGCTGCTCCGGGCCGCCCAGAAGGGCTCAGCGCTGCTCTTTCCGCTTCCGCGGCGGTCATGCTGCGCTGCTGCCGGGCGGCCGCGGCCATCGCTGCCGGCCGCGCCCCGGGCTCCCTGCGCTGCCGCCGCGGCCTCGCCATGGCCAAGAGCAAGTTCGAGTACGTGCGGGATTTCGAGGCGGACGACACGGTCCTGCCCAACTGCTGGATCGTGGTGCGGCTGGATGGCCGCAACTTCCACAGGTGCGGGCAGGGCGGGCCGGGCCGGGCCGGGCGCTGAGGGCACACCGCGGGTGCGGGCTGAGAGCCGGGAGCAGGCTCCGGGGTGGTGCCCGGGTTGCGCTGGGCTGTTCCTGTCCGGCCTGTGTGAGTCCTGCGGGTGCGGGGTTACAGATCCTCGTGTTCCCCACCCGGCCTCTCCAGGGCACAGAATTCCACCGGGATTTTGTTTTCACGGGCGGCTCCACGCCAGGTGGTAGGGAATGGTCCCGGTAGGGAAATGGTTCCAGCGCCTTGGGTGTGCTGGGGAGGGACAGCAGCTGCTATGCAGGGATGCGTATTGGTGTTTGGAGTCAGTGTTTGTGTGGTATTCGCCTTCCCTAGGCATAAATAGGGCACAGTTCCCTCAGCTGGTAGATGACACAGGTTCTTGTTGGGATATTATCTCTGGTTTTGGTAAAGCTCTTGAGTTTTGACAAGTTCATTGATAATGTTGCCCTTATTGGACTGAATATTGAAGACATTGGAATATTGAAGAATATTGAATATTGGACTGAATATTGAAGTGAGAAAGGGAGTTTACAGAAAGTAGTATTTGTTATCCATTTCTAATTAAAATACGTAAGCCAGCTGCTTTGAAAGACTGGTTAGGATCAGATACTGGTGGGAAAGAGAATAGGTTATCCAGAGTGGATAACAAGGATTTTTGAAGAAGGGAATTCTTTTGTCAGTATTGACAGGATACTGGAAATCAATATTCAGCTAAAGCAAATATGAGGAAAATGAATGGCTTAGCATTTTTAGTGGCTTTTTGAGGGATTCTTATGCAACCATTTTTGCTTTGAAGGTTTTCTGAACAGCATGAATTCAAAAAGCCAAATGATGACCGTGCTCTGCAGCTGATGACCAAGTGTGCCCAGACAGTGATGCAAGAACTGGAGGATATTGCTATTGCTTATGGACAGAGTGATGAATATAGTTTTGTTTTCAAAAAGAAGAGCAGGTGGTTTAAAAGAAGAGCAAGGTAACAGCTGCTTTGATACTGAAGTGAACATGTTTTTAACATCTCTTTATAATTCTTCCACAGATTTGACTTTACCTACACACAGAGGTTAGGAGGAGGGCTGGTGCTTACACTGCAATTAGTTGAAGTTTTTCATATGGATTCTTTACATGTGATATTTCAGGAAAATATGTTCAATAATACAGAGCTTGTAAAAAGTTTATATGAACAACTTACTGTATAAACAATCAAAACATTATGAACAGACATTCTTTTAAGATAATGTTACAATTCTCAGTACCTCTGTTGTTCAAAAGTGTCTGTGCCATCCCTCATCTGTTTGGCCATGATTTAAGAAATGCTGCTCTCTGCTACCTATCACTACTGATACCTCAGATAACCACAGATATATAATCACACTCATGTATTTATTTCTTTTTTTCTCTTGTTCTGTGTTTGCAAGTAAGTTCATGACTCATGTGGTCTCCCAGTTTTCCTCAAGTTACGTGTTCTATTGGAAGGATTACTTTAAGGACCAGCAGCTTCTGTACCCACCAGGATTTGATGGACGAATTGTGTTGTATCCCAGCAACCAGAATTTGAAGGACTACCTCAGCTGGAGGCAAGCAGATTGTAAGTGTTCCTAGAAAAGAGAGATTTGTGCACTTGAGTTCACTTCCTCTGAAATGTCCTTTCTGCCAGTGTATTTGTATATACAGTTGTCAGTGAATGAACAGCAGATAGGGTGATAGTTTTCAATAATATTACACTTCTTCTGGGCTTTGTATGTGTACTGGCTGAAATTTGAAGTGTTCAGGCTACAACTGAATTTATTGCATCCTGAGATTGAGTTCAGCAGAAGAAATATTACAACTCCTAATAGAATTAATAAATTAATTTTGATGTTCAGAGTTGGCTTAGTGGAGGTAATCTTTAATGAAGAGATGTGAATATTCAAATTTACAGGAGGTAGTAATCAAAAGTGCTGAATACTCCATGTTAGAACAGAGCACTGAATTTGTCTCTAGATCTTTGTCACTACCTAGTCCCTATTGTCAAATGAAAATAATTTACATGATACATAAACACCCTTCAGCCTTTGCTGTGCCCTTTTCACTTATGAAATTTGTCTTCTACTCATGATATGCAGTACCTTAAAAATACAGTAAAAACACTGTATCTTCTTTAGAAACTGATTCTAGTAATTTCCCATTACTCTTGGCTGTTTCTTGGATACAGCTCTGGAAATAAAGCTTGTTTTTCCTAAGTAGTCACTCAGGTTTGGTAAAAATCTTCCTCACACTCATTTCTGTGTTTTCTCTAGGCCATATTAATAACCTTTATAATACAGTGTTCTGGATGCTTGTACAGCGAAGTGGTTTGACACCGGTGCAAGCACAGGAGAGGCTCCAGGTAAGAGTCTGCTGAAGTCATGGGTTTTTACAGCTAAAAATTAAATGCTAAGATTTGCAAAGTGTCTTGCCTGCCCAGCAGCCAATTCTTACTGTAATAATTCTGTGGGTGTAGTCAACAACTTCTTCCATCGTGCAGATATCAATACCACTAGCAAATAATGTAATTTTGGTCAAGTATTAGCAGTGTTTTAAGTTCTTAGTTAGCAATTTCAGAAATCTCAGAAATGTCACAAAATGTTCTATATCCAAACACGAGGAGCAGTGGCAGAATTCGGGTCCTGTTGATTGCTAGTCCCTTCTGTTGTGTTTTGTCTCCTTGTGCAGACTTCAGCAGGTTATTCCTATTTTCTCCTGGAATCTGTTGACTGTCTTCCATTTTTCTTGAAAATGTAATAAAAATCCTCTGTTTTAGTACTTATCTGGCAGTTGGAATTAATTCCTCTGTTGAGAGAAGCAATTAAACCTCGTGATTTAAAGGTGAAAAACCTTTACAAATGTCTGTCTTGCTTCAGATATTCACCCCTCCTTTACCCTAGAGATACAATTTGTTTTTCTCTAAGAGTATTTTTCTTTTCTTTTCCTCTCAGGGAACTTTGGCTGGAGATAAGAATGAAATCTTATTTTCTGAATTCAACATCAACTACAACAATGAGCCTTTGATATATAGAAAAGGAACTGTTCTAATATGGCAGAAGGTAAAATACCTTTGGGCTCATATTTTAAATACACTGTGGCAGACAGACTGCACTGTAAGAGCACCACATGTATCTCCAGTGTATGTCTAGGAATAAATATATTTTAATGTTAGCTATATTTGCCATATAATTATGTGTATAATGACTTATTGTTTTGGAGATGTTTTTGAGAGCTGTTTCTATGAGCATAATATAAAAGCCAGTCTCTGAAGTCTGGTTTAGATACAAATTGTAATCATTGAGATGAAACATGTGTCAGCAGATGACAATGTGTGTCTCACTGGTGCCAGGCCCTTCCCAGGATTAGGTCCCAGGTATGTCCATGGAAAAGTGATTAAAAATTTCTGTTCAATAAGGTAGCTCAGCTTGTAGTTGGCTTAGTCCTTTTGTGTTTTAAGGTAAGTAGTAAGGAAATGTTCATTATTCTACAATTGCATCATTGATTTAGTGGGAGTAATTCCTGTCCTGTGTTTTTTTATTAATTTTTTTTTGTATTAGAATTTTTGAATCCACTCTCTGGAGCCTTTTATGTTTGGTAATGTGTCAACTGTATTTTCAGGTTAATGAAGTCATCACTAAGAAAATAAAACTGCCAAAGGAAGAGGAAGAAAAAGAAGTGGAAGTGACCCGAACTAGGAGTAAAGTTGTTCCCTTGCACTGTGACATCATTGGGGACCAGTTCTGGGAGGAATATCCCGAGATTCTGGCTGAGGATAGTTGATATCTCTGATGACCATAACTGTTAGTTTACATTTTGCTCTGCTTGGGTTGTTGGCAAGTGAGGAATACAAGTGGTGGCTGGCAGAGTTTGACCTGTAACCCTCTTCAGCAACTACATTGGGTTTAGCACTGTTGCTGCCTGAAAAGACGACACTGGTGCTGTCTGACATATGAGGATATGCCCATATGGAAAGCTAAAATCATACTATATTTTGAATATTAAGAACTCATCATGAATTAAGACTGTTCCTGTCTTGTACATGTGTATTTCTAAAAAAAAAGTATGTAGAAATGTCCTGTATTTCTATAGGATTAAAACAATAAGGTATTTTATTGAGCTGCTGAACTATAAAAAAGCCTGCATATTTGAACAGAAAATAATTATTTTGATTTTTGTTTTTGCCTGAGATGGACCAGAATACTTCAATTGGGATTTAGTATTAAATTTCAAGGCTGGTGTGTTTAGTCAGATGAGAGACAAACTATTCAACTGTCTGATGTCTGATTTTTACTGAAATGCAATGGAGTAGCCCAGCAGTTTTCTATGGTTGATTTTAAAGTATTTGTCAAGTGTACAGGATTTTTATACTTTTAAAAAATATAAATAATAGTACCTTCCCTGCTGTGCTGTATTATGTGGCCTTTCTCATTCTTGGGACTTGTAAGTGGTGACAGTTCCAAGCAGCAAAGTTAATAATAAAGATACTGTGCAGGCTGGAATTCTGTTAGGACATGGAAAGACATCTTTCCTCATATTCCCTGGACTGGGAATTCACCTGTCTCCTATTGTGCATAAAACAGCATATTTAAAAAAAAAATACAGCACAACATAGAACATTCCAGGTGCCTGCAAAGAGGGAGCCAACAATTTGTGCTGCTGTTTTTTGATCTCCCTGGGAATGATACAGGGCAGTGCTGCCAATCCACGTTTGTTAGAAGAGAGGAGTGTATGTTCCCTGCTCTATGCACAGTTCTGTTCTGGTTTAACTATCACTTAAGACCCTTTGTCAAAATCGACCTCTCAGAGCAGAAATATTTCTTCTCATGGATAGGGGCTTGTCCCAGTGTAATTGGAATTTGAAGGAAATAACCTATTTCAGTGTAGAAATACAGCTATAATTATAGGTGTTTATATGGCTATTACTGCTTCTAACCAAGCTGGCCAGAAACATCCCAGAACAGTGACTTGCACTTGGCCAGTTGTTAATGAAGAGATGATCTCTGCCCTGTGTATTCTTTTATGCACTAAACTTCAAATAACATTGCAGCTGCCTGTTACCCCGGTGGCATTTCATGGCCTGGGGCAGGGAGGGTTTGGTCCCCGATCCAGGGATGGTCCCCAGAGTGGGCAGGAGGAGGGCTGCACAAGTGGGGGGAACTGAAAATAATCATGGATTTGTTAAGGTTGGAAGGGACTGGAAATGATCCAGTCCAGCCACCCTGCCAGGGCAGGGACACCTGGAACAGGTAATCCAGGGATGTGTTCAGCTGGGTCTGGGATGTCTCCAGAGAGGGAGAGCTGCTCCCTGGGCAGCTGTTCCAGTGCTCTGCCACCCTCAACGTAAAGAAGCTTTTCCTCATGCTGAGGTGAAATTTCTTGTGTTTTATTTTACGTGCACTGCTCCTCATCCTGTCACCACGAAGAGTTAGGCGCCATCATTTTGATACCCCTCTGTGAGTCTTTTGGCTAAGCAGGCCCAGCTCTCGCAGTGTCTCTTAGGAAAGAGAGATGCTCCAGACCCTTGACCATCTTTGCGGCCTTTGCTGGACGCTCTCCGCTGCCGGGTGGAGCAGGGAGGTGTCCGTGCGGGTACCCGCGGCCCTCCCGAGCCCCTCCGGGCTCCTCCCGCCCATGGCGGCCGCTCCGCCCTCAGGCCCGCGGCGTTGCGCGGCAGCGCCCCCTGGCGGCCGCGCTGGGCGGTGCGGCCGCCCGCAGCCCGCCATGGAGGAGGACGAGGCGGGCGCGGCGGGTGCGGAGCCGCGGGGCTCCCGCCGCCGCTCGCCCAGCCCTGGCTGCTTGGACGTGAGCTCCAGCCGCTTCGACCCGCTGCTGGCGCTCTACTCGCCGCGCACGCCGCTGCCCTTCCCCGCCGCGCCTTGCTTCAACAACCTCGCCGAGTACGAGAGCTTCCAGCGCGGCCTGCGCCGCCCGGGCGGCCGCCGCGCCGCCCCCGCCCGCCGCGGTGCCCCCGCCGGCCGCGCGTCCCGCCGGGGCCCGCCCGCCGCCGACCCCGAGCGCATCCAGCGCCTCCGCAACCTCATGGTCAACGCGGGCCCCGAGCAGGACGCGGCTGAAGGCGGAACGGCGACCCGGCGGCGGCGGGCACCGCGCAATGTCCTCACCAGGATGCCCCGTAAGGGCGCGGGCCCGGGCTGGGCGGGCAAAGGGAGGCAGGGCTGAGGGGGAAGCGGAGGGTGTGAGGGTCGGGGTCATGCTGAGGTGGGTCAAGGGTTGCGGCTGGGCCCGGCGTGGAGTTTGGGGAATTTGGGGGTGAGGAGAGAGCGGTGGCTGGCAGAAGGGTTGGGTGACAACGGGGTGTGGGTGGGTGCTGTGGGGAATGATTTAGTTTGATGAGAAATGACATCTCCCAATGCAGAGGCACTGGCACAGGGTGCCCAGAGAAGCTGTGGCTGCCCCGTCCCTGGGAGTGTCCAAGGCCAGGCTGGATGGGGCTTGGAGTAACCTGGTGTAGTGGAAGGGGTCCCTGCACATGGCAGGGGAATTGAAACGAGATGGGCTTTCAGGTTCCTCCCAACCCAGACCATTCAGTGATTCTCTGAAATGGTGTGCAGGAATGAGGAACAGCATTTCACAGAGCTGCTCACACAGAGATGACACTGACTTTGTTGTGGTGATGTTCTGTTCTGTTAATTGGTGAATTACATGCCGTACATCCTCTTGGTTTTAAGGAGAAAAAGGATGAGACAGTGCTGTATTCTCAAAAGTACTATTTTGAACCAGGACTGGTATTAGCACGTTGCTCTCTGAGATAATATCAGGGTCATGTTTGGGTCAGTCCAGGGTGTAGTTGAACCATAACCACAGGGTAAGTGTGTAACACACTGCTGTTACTTGGTTGCTAACCAAACATCCTGCAGGCAGAAATAGTGGCATTTCTGGTAAAAGGATTGAGGTGAGAGACAGTTGTGATGTAAATTCATTAGCTGTGATGATGATATATATTTCTTGTAAAAATGCAGTCAGGGTAAACATCCCCTATGCTACTTGTGCCCCCACCAAGAATTAAATGTCATTGCTGTCAGGTGAGGTGTAACTTCAGTGCACTTAATTAAAACTTCTGGGGTTCATTTTGGAATCAAGTTATCTTTTCACCATCACCTCAATTTTTTTTTCTAAAAAGGCAAAGCCCAAAATGTTCAATTTTGAATACCCAAGGCAAAAACCTTTTGCTTAGACACTAAAACGCAATGTATTCATTGCTATAGGTTCTGCATGACCTTAAGTATCACACTTAGTGCTCTGGACAAATTCAGAGGTTCTGTTGGCACAGGATTTCCAGAAAACTGACCTTAAATATTGATTTCAGATCTTAATTTTTACACAGTTTTTTTCTTCAATTTTTATCACTAGTACAAACTGAGATATTTTTTATTAAGAACCATTAAAAACACATACTTAATATCCACACATCCATGTCTGGACTTCAAAGAAGACTGGCACATCTGTAACAGAAAGTGCTGTTCAGCAGCCTGGGGTGTTTTAAGAGTGATTTACAGCCAAAATTGTGTGCTTTCCCTGTAACTGGGAGTATGTCTGCAAAACAGGTGTTTGGAACTTGGACTGTGTTAGATCAGTTCAGGAGGAGCTATTTATTATTACTTTGCATTCACCAAGGGGCAGAGAATTCATGTGCAAGGCAGGTGGAAAGGCTTTTGACAGTGTTCTGAGTTATTTCAACTTTTCTCTTGAGGTTTTTCTAACTTTGCCTCTTAATAGATTCTGCCCTGAGGACAAGGACTTGAACTTAACCAGAGTTTAGATCTTTATTTTCACCCTTTTGGGGTGCTTGCCCTCTACTTACAGTAGTTTTGGAGTAATTTTTCAGAGTCTTGGTATTAAGCATGTGCTTATTTTGTACAGGTAGGGGTTGGATTTTGAGTTCCAACTAGGGAACTTTTTTTCCTATGTATCGAAACCTTGTTCATGCCAGACCTTAACAACACAGAAGGCACAGGCAGATTTAGTTGTGAGCAGAGGCTGCTCTTTGCAGCCCTTGGTGCTTGCAGAGGAGGTGTGTTCTAAAAACAAATGCTTTGTGTTATTTTTTCTGAGAATGGTGAAGGTTGTTGAAGGGTTTTTGGGTGTTGTGTTCTGCCTTTTTGCTCAGATGAAGCTGGAGGTTTGCTGTGGAGGAACCAGAACCTTACACAGCAAAGAAAAGTGGGCAGAGTGCAGATTTGGTAGAGCTGTGTAGTGTTGTCCTGGGTGCTGAGAGGCAGAGGCATAGTTGGAAATAAGTGATGTAGAATTCTGTAAAAAGTTGTAGATAGAGTTCCTACTTAAAGGGAATACTGGAACTTAAAACCTAAAAATAAGTCTGGATTTTAAATTACTATGTAAGTTCTCAGGGTTGGTTAGAAAAAAACACTGATTTGTGATTGGAAGCATCAATTTGATATTGTGATGGTGTCATCTGTGGTTCCTGTGATGGATCTGGCAATCCAGAACATGTTTGTTATCAGTTCAGCTGAAGGAGACACAGAGGCTCATGGAAAGACCCCCTAAGCAAGGCTGGGAGGTGCTGAGACAGCTTATGCCTTGTGTGAAACCAATTTCCTGCAGTTATCCAGCTGGAGAGGTCTGGCAAGAAGACAATGGATCCTAAAAAATAAATGTGATTACGTTAATTCAGAGGAAACTGACTTAGATTTCCCTGCTGTGGCCATGAATTACCCTGCAGCCCTGTCCTGCAGATCAGCTGTTTTACACAGTCACTTTACACTCACAGGAAGCATTTTCTGGTGTGCAAATCAAACCTTAAATGCACAATCCCTAAGGCACAAGGTGAGAGATCATCTCTGGCTCACATATTTTATTAATATGAAGAACTGTGGAAGATTTTAGACCAAGTCTTTTCTCTGACTCTTAGTAGAAATTGTACAGCAGTCCTGGGACCATGTTTGCACAAGCTAAGGGGTACCAAGGTATGGGTGGAAGTCATAAATATTTTCTATCCCTCTAGATAAGTTAAACTTGCAAAGATTTCTGGTGTGCAGACAAGGCTTGTGTGAGCCAGGCAAGCTGTACATTTTACTGAATTCCTTCACTTTTGCCCTGGTTAAAGCATTATTGCCCTGGGGTTTAGCATGGTTTGCTGGCTGCTCCTTAGAGTAATTTTATTTCCTTGCCAAGGACTTGTACAGCTTTGAAGGATGTTCAGCTGGCTGCTAAAATCTTAACTGAAACAATGCATTTTCATCAGTTTAAACTGATCCAGTTTACTAAGTTGAAGGATTTTGAGTCATTCATTGTTTCAGAAATCTCCTTGTAAAGAAAAGGAACAAATCTGCTACAATTCTTTATTTGCAGCTCATAACTAATCTGAGGTAGCTTTAACCAGGCTTTTGTCTTTTCTGTGGAACTGACTCTGCCCCCATGAGCTTTCTGTTCTCTCTCAACCACTTTTATTTACAGTTCAGATTACTTGGCATGTTTTTGAAATGTAGCAAAAAGATTTTCAGCTAAGACTGATTTGGCTGTGGGCTATGTAAAGCAAAACCTTCTTGTTTTCTGAGGTCTTGGCTCTCCCCATTGTAAGAAGAGTTTTGGTGGTCTGGTAATGGCAACCACAGTGTGCTACAGCGCTTGGGGCTTTGTCATTGCTATTGTTGTGAACACAAGTGTTGTGCCAAGCTCTGCCATACTTCTACATAGAGTGTATTTCTACATGGTTTTTAGATAGATGGATATTGAAGAGAGAGTTTTTACAAGAATATGTAGTGACAAGAAAAGCAGGAATAGTTTCAAACTGAAAAAAAGTAGCTTTAGATTAGATATGAGAGAAAAATTCTTGCCTGTGAGGGTGATGAGGCCCTTGCACAGGTTGTCCAGAGAAGCTGTGGCTGCCTCAGCCCTGGAAGTGTTCAAGGCCAGGCTGGATGGGGCTCTGATCAACCTTGGTCTAGTGAAAGCTGTCCCTGCCTGTGGCAGGGAGTTGAAAGAGGATGATCCTTAATCAGTCTTCCAACTCAGGCCATTCCATGATTCTATTCTGTGATTCTGTATATTTTAGTGAAGACTGGTGATGTTCTCTTTCTGTTCTAGTCCATGAAGGGAGCCCACTGGGGGAGCTTCATCGCTGTGTCCGAGACGGTGTCAGAATTAATGTCCACATCCGCACTTTCAAAGGTCTTCGTGGAGTCTGCACAGGGTTTTTGGTTGCATTTGACAAATTCTGGAATATGGTAATTACTGTTCTAGCCCTTGATTTGTAACTGTTATATTGAAATCTTGAAATTTGCAACAGGTTTAAGCAAATGACATATGGGGAAGGTTAAGGTGGTTTTGTGGTTCACAAATGAATTTGCTCCGGTACCAAGTGCTGGGTTTCAAACTGAAGTGGTACTTGGTGTTGGACTGGTACGTGTGGGAGGTGCCCAACCATCTCAGAGAGGTTTTAGCTGAGAGAGAAGCTTTGAAGAGTTCCCACCATCTTCAGAGGTTTTGTATAAGAACACAGGAAGATGGAATATGAGGAATATCAGAAGCTTCCAAAGCTTTCTCTGCAAAACCCAATCTTTCTATAGGGTTGGGTGCTTCTCTGTTTTCTTTCACAACATCACTGAGCTGCCAGTGACAAAAGCTTTTCCTTGTTTTCTACCTTGTGAAGATCTTAAAGAAATAGATGGAAAAGAAGCTATTAAATATTTGCGAGCCTGGAGGTGTGAAAGCTTGGAAGTGGGAAGGAGGGAAGGATTTTGCAGGCAAGGATCACAGAGATTTTGCAAGTAATTCAGAATGAACTTTGCTGCTGCTTTTGTACCTCAGTACAATTTAGATGATTAACAAACCAGCTCCAAAGCACAGCTTGTTCCTGGGATGGATTTTCTCTCAGAACGTAATTTCATAATGCTTTGACACAAAGCTGGTCCAAAGCTGCTTCATGTTTTATTTTAATTTCAATCTTTTAATTTCTTTTATCTTTTTTTAGGCCCTGACAGATGTGGATGAGACTTACAGGAAACCAGTAATGGGCAAAGCCTTCTATGCAGAACCTCAGCTCTCACTGACCCGAGTAGGTGACATCTCCTGTTTTGTTTCTTATTAGGAGCCCCTTTTTCAAAGAAATAAAAGGGGAGCACTGATTTGGAACCCATGTTTACATTTGAAATATTTTACCTCCTTTTATTACAGATGACAGATAAAATAATTTGAACTGAGAAAAAAAATACCCAAAATGTTTTCTGATCTTTCTGAAAGTACTTTGGGAGTTCGGTGTTACTGAAGCCCCACTTTAGAATCAGATCAGATTACTTCTTAATGTAACATGCTGAGCTTCTAGAAGCTCACTCTGGGTTTTGAAGTGTGATTTTTTCTCTGTGTTTTATTGCACCTGTGACTGATCAGGTCCGTGTTTGTCTTGCCAGGGAACATGGCAGAGCATCCCTCTGGTACTGAAGTTTCTCATGGCACAGTCTATGTCTGCAACCAGAGAAACAACACAGCTCTTTGGTAACTTGAGCTTCCAGCCTGGGTACTGTGAAGCTCAAGATCTCCAAAGCTGTCCATTCTCTAGGATCCAACTGCAAATAGAATTGTTTATCACGTTGACAACTGAAGAGATGATAGATGAACTTCTGAACAATGAAGGGAAAAAAAAGTGACAGGGCAGTGCCCGTTGAATGGCAGCAGCTCCAGGCTTTTTGAACATCAGAGAAGCATCACAAAAACATTTAAACTGTTTCATTGTGAGGAGTTTGCTTTCAAATTCCTGCCATTTAAATCTGTTTTCTGATAGATCCCACCCTTCCTTTTTTTAAAGACTAGCTAAAAATAATCAAGTTGTCATTGTTCCCTTAGCTCACTCTCACAGGCGTTGGCTTTCCATCCTGTTGCTGGGAAGAGAGAAGCTAACCAAAAATCTCATTTGTCATTATTTCATAAAAGCTTGTCTGTTGCCAGATTAAAAGCAATTTCTTTTCCAGTTTCAGCACCATGTATTCTTAGATTAATGAGTTCATGCAGTGCTTTGGGTCTGCTGCTGTAGCTTTTATTATTTTTCTGTTGTTTGTGGTCTGCTCACCTCCCGAAATACCCACATGCCATCTTTTAGTTTGTTTTGGGGAACACAAAAGATCCCTCAGTTTTTCAGTGTACAGACTTTGCTAATAGAGGCCCCTTATCTTAGGGATTCATGTCACAAGGATGGAGATCTCTCTAAAACTGTCTGACAACATTAAAAGAACATGGGGAAAAGTGAGCTGGTATCTCTGTTTCTCCTGACCAAAGTTAAAGGCTACCACAAAGCAGTGTTGCGCCCCAAATTAAATTCCTTGGTGCTCACATTAAGACAGTCATGACCATGCAAGAGACTTATTCACCTTCTCTCACTGTTTGACTTTGGTAAGAAAACATGGTCTTTATTGCTGGTGGAGATTTGTCACTGTGTCTTGTGAGCTGATTTGGGATGGTACATGAAAATACAATGTAGAAGTGTGGAGCAAGTGTCCTCTCTTGTTTTTAGAGTGTGGTCATAGATACAATTGTTCTTTTACAGCTGTTTGACAGACTCAAGCTGCAGGAATCCTCGAGGAAGAAGGGAGCTGAATCAAAGACTGTCTCAGAGGAGCTGGCCCTGACAAATGACTCTCAGACGCTGAGTTTGAAAGTTGGATCTGGACGAGGGAGAGCAGAAGAGGAGCATGAGAGGCAGAAACACTTGGGCAGAGCTGGAGAGAAGAAGACCCCAGGTGACAGAAGTGAAGCTGATGTGGGCAGCAGGACTGCCCACACAGAGGGGGCCAGTGCTGCTGGGGCCCGAGCAAGGAGCCAGTCCCGGAGGAGAAGGCGGCCCAAGGTGGATTATCAGCAGGTGTTCACACGCCACATAAACCAGATCTTTATTCGAGGAGAGAATGTCTTGCTTGTCCATTTAGCACATTGACTTGGCTGAGCCTTTGTCAGAGTATTTATTTGATAGCATGACTTGCTGCTGCAGCTCCCATTGCTATTTAGAGTTGTCATTGAGTAGGATGGTACTGTGGCTGGTTTCCCATTGCCACCACAAGGTAGGGGAAAGAATTGTAACTTGAGCATCCTGGGCTTGATGCCAAAGCAGCCTCCTTAGATCCCTGTTGGGGGTCTCAGGAGAAGGTCAGCAAAGCAGTTGTTTCTGTGATATGAGGGAGTTAAGCAGAGATCCCACTGTTTCTTAAAAAGGAGCTAAATGGGGAGGGTTGTAAGAGAATTTTGGTGTACTCTGTTACAGGAGCTACTTATGACACACATTTAAGGATAAGATCTGGACCTGCAATAAATCAGAAATGCTCTTTTGCACATTCTGAATAATATCACGAGGAAATTGCTAATGGAACCAACAGTTTATCTGCTGCTGTTACATGGATGTCCTCTTTTCCAGGCAGAATTCTGACAGCCATTTTGAAATAGTTTATAAAACTTTGGAGTCATCCTGCTGATGGCTACTGGCCTCTTTGCCATAGTTAGCTCTGTAATGTGTGATAGAAAACCTCTTAATTTTAAACTGCTCTTTTAATGTGGGTGATGGCAGGACTGTAACTTGTTTCCAGTAACAAAGCTTAAGCTCTCTTTGTAATGCTGTGCTTTGGCCCTGTGTCACCAGCAAGCAGATGATGTAGCTGATCCAGAGACATCCCTGTTTGGAGTTTATCTGTGGGTGAAGATGGAAAACTATCCTTTTATATTTCACCTATTTGCTACTTAGTGTAGCAGTGAAGCTGGCAAAGATTGGGTTTTTCTCAGGTGTGTTTGTGCTGAGCATACCTGTCCTGTATTTAAACACCTTCCAAGGCTCCCTCTATTGAAACCAGAGGTGCTGTGTCTCTAGCAGTTCTCATGGAACAGGAATCTTCATGGGTCTTTTCTGTCCATGTGAGGCATGCATCATCTAATTCCATCTTTGGAGATGTGCCTGACAAGGTTTTGAAGTATAGAAGTTAAACTCAACTCATCAGTGTGTCATTTTGCAAGGGTGTTAAATTATTGCAGGCCAGGCCAGGGTTCTGCAGGTATAAACTGCTTTCCAAAAAAACCTACCTGCAGAAGTAAATGAAGCTGTTCCATTATGTAGCCTGTCCCCTTTGTTGTCAAAGGAGATTTCATGCTGCTATTCTGTATTCATCTCAACTGCCTTGTGCTTTGCAGCAGCTCTGTGTGTTTAAGCTGAAGATGGGAAATTGCTTTATAGCAGGACTTACATTGCATATAGATGCCCTGAGTTCTCAAATTGAGTGGCTGTACATGTAGGTGACATGGATTTCTGTTGCTGCAGGTGCAGCATTCTGCTTGCTTGGTCATTAGGGATATGTCTGGTGTTTGGGTGAATCACAGAAATCATTTAGCAGGCATTCTGGACACACAAAGCAGCTGTTTGCCTCTGGGGGAGCTTGAAATTTATGTCAACATTTCACATGACACGGGGTTTGATGAGCTCAGCTACAGAGCTCAAAGCCAAGTTCAGCCTGGGACAGAGTAAAAAGTACTGTTGAGGCAAAATAGTTTCATCAAGGGTAAAAAAGAAAAGAAAAAAAAATAAACATTCTCCACAGCTTCTTCTGAAACATTGCTTTACTGCTGTAATCCCATTCCTCTGTGAACTGAGACTAGGCACTGAAAAGATTCTTCTCATGGAGGTTCTTGTTTCCCCTCCCTTCTCTACTGTTCTCTAATGTACTCTGCAGGTTCTCCCTTTTTTTCTTTCTTCATTTTTCCTCCCCCCCCCCCCCTTCTCCTGTCAGTACTTTGTCTCCTGAGGACATTCTAAACTCTGGTTTACAAAGACTGTTCTTGTTGTCCTGGCTTTCTGCACTTTTTCCTGGTTGGCTTTCTATGTATTAACCAGAACCCTCACAAATTACTAGAAACATGTGAAGCTAGAAACAAGGTGCTTATCTCTGCTCCTGACTTCCCAGCAGCTTTTATTGCAAGTGAATATTTTCTTCCTTATGTTTTGGTTGTGGGGATTTCCTCTCTGTTGTCTGGCAGCTTTGTTTTTATTTCAGCTGCTTGGGATGACTCCTCTCTGCCTTTTCTGTTAGTACCAAAGGCCTCTGGTTTTGATCTCTCCTCTTTCTTTCATATTTGACCAAAGGGTGTCAGATCACCCCCAGGCTGATATACAGTGACAACTCATTGAATTCATGCTTCTCTTCACTTCATATTCTTAATTCTGTTTGTCTGCCTAGATTAAGTCTTGGACATTAACTAAGATACAACTACTATGAGTGTTTTTGTGGCTGTGCTGCCCTTCTTTGTCCATTGACACTTCCCCAAGTTCTCAGTTGCTGCTGGAAGTCTCAGTGTTTCCTTTCATAGTGGGTTTTTCCCTGAAACCTTACAGATGTTTGTTGCTTCACATCTACGAGTTTCTTTGTTTACATTCTATGAAAAATGCTGGTGCTTAACTTAAGTTTAAGTTAACTTAAGTTTGTGCCTTGATTTTTATATCATCCCTGACCTGTTCTTCCAGAATCATCACCATGGTGAGCAAACCTGGTTAAGGATAATAGTTTACCTGCTTTTTTTGTACTACCTCATTGTTAAAAGTTTCCTCCTCTCATCTGTGAAGTTGGTTAAACTGCTCTCTTCCAATTTAGATTTAATTAATTACTTATTCTTTGTTTGTTTCCTACTTTCCTATCCACCTTTCTCATTATTTCTGAGCTGCTTCCTAATTACTGCTGCTTCCTTTTCTACAACTTCAGATCTTCCAAAACATCTTCCTTTTCCCACTTTTTCTGGCATTGTATATTTTTAAAATGCATTAATAAAATGCTATCTTACAGATTTAGTCTCTTTAAAGCATTGCGATCGTGATGAAGCAAGTGATCCTGTGGGTGTGTTGTCACTTGCTTGTTCAATACTTCAGATAATTTAAAGTTTATTTAAAGTTGAATGTCATGTTCAGAAATGAATTCTTCTACCTCAATGAAGTATCCTCCTAAATCTGTTTTAAAAAGAAAACAAGCTTTGGAAACAAATGAGCTTTGGTTTCCAGTGTTTTTCTTAATTGTTTCTGGTTGTTTCTTTCTATGGTTTTCCTTTTCCAAACTCAACATAAAATTTTTTGTTCAAAAAGTTCTTTGCTCCCAGCCCTTTCTCTCTTGCTGCAGTGATGCTGTGAGCACAGACACACCAATATCTTTGTGCTAAGGAAGAGTAAGAAACAGAGAGCAATGTGAGAGTGCAAAAGCTTTGGGCAGATGTGAAATCCTCCCTGAAAGGATCCACAGGTTGCCAGCTGTCCTGTATCTCTAGGACTTTACTCAGCCTGGTGCTCAGCAGAGGCTCTTAAAGCGTGTTTGGGGTGAGGTACCCAGTTACTGCAGGGAGAAGTTTTCTGCAATAACTTTGAAGAAGCACTGGGATAATTTGAGAAAGTTTTAAAATAACCTCTCATTTCTGGGATTATTTCTTAGGAAATGTTTTTGCACAGGTGCTTCATTTTTATCAAACACTTCTTTGGCTGTGGTAGTAAAGAAGGTAAGGCCAAAGGGGAGAAAAGGCTTATAAAAAAGTGTGGGTTTGGTTCCTTCTCTCAACTGACTTGTCCAGATTGTTAATTGTCTGGAAGATTTTTTTCTGACCTACAGTGAAGTACTTAGCATGTCCTCGGCAGGTGATTACTGAATTAATCAGTGAGTGCTGTTTTCCATCTGCTTCTTCTCCTTCAGTATTTGGATTCATTGTTTCTTTTGCAGCATTCCCCCTCAGCATGGCAGTGTCTCAGCAGGAACAGGTCTGAGTGCCCACTGATTTTTACCCTTCCCTAAGGAATGTTACCCCATCCAGTTTTGAGTCCAGAGAGCCTTTGGCTATTGTTGATTTTCATACTGTTCTCTTTAGATTTTTGGAATTATTTGGTCAGAAGAATTATTTATCTTGGATAACATTACTTTTTGGAGTAAACTGATTTTTTGAATACTTTTAAAAATAATTTTGTTATTTATTTTCTTTCACAAAGTGTTAGGTTTTCCTAGTTTGTTGCTGCAGTCACCCACTTGCACATGTGAATCACTGGGTGAAGAGGTGTGCAGGATAAAAAAAAACAGAAAGAAAGTGTCTAATTTTTATTGAATTTGACATTCTGTCCAACATTCTGCTCACACTCACCCTGTTTCTTAATAGCACTGACCTAACTGAGACAGGTGGAAAGTATTTCATCCAGAATCTTGAAGGAAAATGGAGCAGGGACAGCGGACTGAAAACACAGTTTATGAAGATGTTTATCTCCAGGTAAAATTCCGTCTTTCATTAAAAAGATCAGAGTTATAAGCACCAATTTACACTGCAAGCTGTGCCACTGAATAAAATTGGAAGGCACAGCCCTGCACCTTATCAGAGGTGATGCAGTGACTCCCTCAGCCAGGACAGCTCTTGCCTGAGAAACTGCTCAGGTATATACCGGTGTCTGCCTCAGAGCATATCTGCAAATACTGCCAATTAATATGAGGATGTTTTCTCTCCTGCCTGCACTGCCAAGTGTAAAATATGAATGCTGAGGTCTGCAGCATCTGCAGCCCAGGACTACTTCAGTTCATGCTTTAGCTTCTTGACATTGGCTTAAAAAAATTCAAGTTTGTACAAGTAGCAATCCTAAGACAGTTCATTAGAACTTTAGGAAAGGCTGCTGCTGACTAGAAATAGTGTTGGAAAATAAGTTTTTATGGAATTTGTGAAATTCTGATTGTAATTAAAGTATTGCAAACCAGGAAAGGTTGAGAGGGTTGGGATTGTTCAGCCTGGAGAAGAGAAGCTTTGGGGTGACCTAACTGCAGCCTTCGAGTACCTGAAGGGAGCTTACAAGAAAGATGGAGAGAGACTATTGACAAGGGCCTGGAGTGCCAGGACATGAGGGAATGGCTTCACACTGACAGAGAGTAGCGTTAGATGGGATATTAGGCAAAGGCAAAGGAGGGGAGAGGAATTACTCAGGTGGTGATAACTCCTTGACATGGGAAGAGGCTTTCTAGCCTGTGCCTTGGGCACAGTCCTGGCAGCACTGTGCAGCTGAACTCTGTAGATGAAGGGGAGGATGCTGAGCCAGCTCTTGAGTGCAGCCTCCCTTTTGCTGTGAGCCTTTCAGAGCACCTGAACTGCCCCTGGAATCTCTGCCAGGTTCCACCCCTAATGATTGAGCCTCTTAACATTTTGTAGGGGAAACCCAGGGGGAGAAGATGGAAGTAAACAAATTTGCCCTTTTGAGGTGCGGATGGAGGAGGCTTGGCTTTCCTTGTTGGCCTCCTGGGATGCAGGAGAAAGGACTACTTTAATGGGGAAATAGCAGAGGTGCTTGAGTCATGATGTTTGTAAGTCCTTTCAGATGTCACTGTAAGTGCTCTTGCTCTTAGCTGGTGGAATCTGAAGGCCTGTCAGGGAAGGGAAATGCCTCCTGATGTTCCTGGATAACTATCTTATTAGCTTTTAGCTTTCTGGTGTATACCTGGATGACTTTGTTGAAAAAAATTAGTACACCTGAGACTTTTAGTCAGTCTTCTATTCGTTTAGAATGAAAAGTAGTTTGATCAGTTTGTGTGAAAACATATCCATCCTTTTTTCCTCTCAAAAGATCAGTGCTCTCCCTCAGGAAAGAAATGAAAGCTGCTCCTATAGCAATTGCTTCTGATTTCCACTGCTTCAGAGCAAAGTGCAGCTGTGCCAAGGTGTCTTCAGCTGACACATTATTCTGAGAGGACAAGATGAGAGAAATGTTTGGTTTCCCTAAAACTAAAATGGGCATTACAAGGGGAGCAGATGGGTTGACCTCTTTTCAGGTGGTGCACACACCCACTGTAGTTGCACGGACTGGGACTTGTTAACCAATCAGTCACCCATAAAGCTTCCTTAGGGAGCCGCAGAGGAGCAGCATGAGCCACCAGACTGATGTGGAAGTCAGGGGCTGACAAATTCTGCTCTTTTCACTGCCTCTCACTGAACGGCCTTGGCAAGTCACTTCCATCCCTCTCCCTGACACTCCACAGCTGTAACACATCCAAGGGCACTCCTTGCCTGTCTTGTGAGGAGCTGGGGAAGTGGTAAACGCTATACAAGTGCCAAGCGTTGTTATCAAAACTCCGTCTGTCAGGAAATGCAGACACATCAACCCTCTGCCCTCTCCAGGCTCGTGACTGTTAGTTAACCTCACCTTGGCACACAAAAACCATGTGGGGAATCAGGTACAAAAACACTCTTCAGTCTTGAAATCACTGATGTCTTCAAGGTCACATTTGGTGACTTCAATATCTGTTTCACAGCTGCAGTTCCATGTTTGGGTCAGATGGTGATAAATGAGGGTGTAACTTGTTTGTAACAATTCCTTCTCTGTCTTCCTAAACATTTTGTTTCTTAGGAAGCTGATGCTGCTATAAACATATTGGATAATACTGAATTTGCAATATTCTGCTTTCCAGATATAAATGTTTATATTTAAAATTGCTAAGACTGCAATGCAATAAATATCTCCATGTTACAGTTTGCCTCAAAGCATGTTTTTTTTGTGTTCTACCAATACAGTGATGTGCATTGTGTCAGTGAAGGAGCTGGGAATGCTGTGGTTAGGACAGATGCTGGATGTGGAGACTCCCAGGTGTGAATAAAGCACTGCTATCTAGTCACATAACTGGGGACAAACCAGTAATTTGTGTGTTCAAAAGGGTATTAATCTACAAAATAACAATACCATGATACTTGTCTCTTAGAGATGCAGA